GTTATTAGAGATTGGTGTTGAATAGAAACATGAAAGTATAACATAGGTGCAAATTATTTTTGAAGAAAAAATCAATACAAGTATATCAGTGTGATATTGAAAAACTTCATTTTAACAACTGATAAATAAAAAGGACGTAGATTATGGCACATCTTAATATAGACGACAATTAAGAAACGATTTTTGCCCACACAAAGAAAAAAGACAAAACATAATTCGAAATACAAAAGAAGTCAATAGCCAGCATAGATTTAGATGAGGAAAGAAAACAAACTGGAATTTTCACCTTCCCTATTTCAAACGTAAAGAAATTGAAATTTTTCAACCCATCAGAAAAGAAGCAAGCCAACTTCGATAGAAAATGCACTTACACGAACGGGGAAAAAACTGCACAACGGATTTTCTGATCCTTACCATATTCTCTCAAACACAACGAACGGTACAAAGTGGTTTATGCCGAAACAATGAACAATATTGTTGTTAAGTGCTCCAAGGTTTATGGCATTTCTGCAGCCTTATACCTGCGCTTTATTATCAAAGGGAAAATTTGGAACTCTTCCGGGTTAATATCTCCAATGTTGTTGCCAGCCCACCTCCCACTAAAAATAAAGTACAATGCACTTTTATGGACATTGCATCATCTTTCAGGTTTTCATGTGTCTCTGACGTTCGAGGATAGTAATTATTCCCATGAGCAACTTTGTTGTCCATTGATTGCCATGATTTTCGGGGAATATTAAAGTTTTTTCGGACCAATGCATATGAAAGGAGATTTAGGACAATATGAGAATCCTTTGTAGAATCCTTGTAAAATAATTTGATTGAATGAATTTTTTGAGGAACACTGAGGCATAATCAGAATTGTGCTTAGGAACCTTTTTTGAGAATATGATTACACAGGATCAACTTTATTTAGGGTATTATTTATACATAAATTTCTCTCTTTATACATATATTAGAAATTAGATATAAGTACATGTAAAAACATCGTTAAACTCGACCGGACTGTACACCAATGATAATGATATATGAGGGTTATAGGGAAATGTGAATCTATACCGACATCACGGGACATAGAACCTATTTCAAACTCTAATAACCTATTCAGTTAAGAAATGTGGCTAATAGCACTAGAATATCGAATATCGGGAAGTATCGATATATGATGTGGATATTTTTTTATAGCGATTGGTATCTATAGCGACCATCAAACCCTAAAATTTAAATACTTTTGTTAGAAAATGTGGTTAAAACCGAACAAATACCGAATAGTTGAAGGAACCGTAATATAGGTCTATGGAAAAACATAGATCTATATAGACAATATTCTGCTACTGGAGGTAGAACCCAAAATAAATTCCAAACACCAAAGTATAAATCACGAATATATACTGCTGTCATTTCTAAGCCACTCGTCCGACAGCTGCTAAATTATCACAGTGACAGCTCATTATATCGTTTACAAACGTACGGAGGCATTTTGGCGAGAATTTTCCGGAAAAAAAGTTATTCGTGATGGAATTCAATTCCGCTATAACAGCCGATGATCGCTTTCCGCTCGTAGTAATCGACCGTGGCATCAGAATAAATGCCGAATATTGTCGCGAAAATATTTTGGGGGGTGTATTAAAGCCTTGGGCATTCCAGCAGGACTCAGCACGCACCACCCAAGAATGGTTACAAAATGAGGTTCCTCGCTTCATTTCCAGCGCACAATGGCCAGCAAAATCTCCGGATACCAATCCGTTGGACTATTGTGTCTGGTGTATTTTTGCGCTTCCCGGAGAATGGTCCAAAATACCGCAGAGGAACAATCGGGCAGCTTGTATCGGTTTCATAGGCATAATTCGAGGCTAAAGTGACCAATTCGAATAAATCTAAACTTATTCTAAAATTTGATGCTATTTCCGACATTTTTTGCTTTCACTCAATAAAAGTTACAAAAGGTTAAAAATATGGCGTTTGACTTTGTTGCAGTTTTTGTTTTTATAACTCTTCTATCACCAACACATACATCAAACTTATAATACCGCCCCATTCCGATTATACCCTAGAGCATCACTTTTTAGTCCGTACTAGGCATTTTTCTTCATTTAATGCTTTAATTCCATAACTTTTAGGTGCTTTTGAATTTTTTAGTTTTCAAATATTTAAAAATGCCAAAAAAACACGCTGCACTTGCATCCATACAAAAGCATGCATTTTAATATCCTTGTTCGCTATAAAATTGCTACTTATTTCACCTAATTTATAGGTGTATAGTATAATGTCTGCTGCCCAGTTTCAGGTTTCCTACGAAGCATAGGCAATAATTTTGTGTGACTGTCAAAATGTCCAATTTTATGCCATTGTTTTTCATTTGGCAATGAAAATGGAAACATTTTGAGATTTATGATTCTCCCAAATGGTAATTTTATGGAGACAAATATGTACGAATGGCATGCATGAGGACACAATTGTGAAACCGCATATATTCCAAATTCAACATGACTTCCATGAATATGACATACATGAAATGAAAAATTATGATTCCGCCGTCCACAACAACATTACTAATGGCTGTTATAGCCTGTATGATTGTATGAAAGCTAAATGCATAATAGAAAAGAATGGTGGTTACAGGTTGAGATTATTAGCATTACGATGTTTTTTTTTTTTTGAATGGAATATTACAATATGTTCAGCTCACGAGCCATTTTTCAGCCACTGCGACGCGGGTTTCGATCAAGTCGCTTCCTCACTTTTCGAAGCCACTCTTCCGACAGATGTTAAAATTATTCCATTGACAGCTCTTTATATTGTTTACAAGCGTACAAAAGCATTTTGGTGACAATTTTCCAAAAAAAAGTTTTTCGTGATGGAATTCAAGCGTGATAGTGTGATTTCTTAATATTTGGCTGGAAAATCGCAAGCGGCTATTGTTAAGCACTGTGAATAAATCTTTTGTGTCTCGTACCATCGCTCGTTACAGTGATACTGGTAGCGTAGCCCTACGTCAAGGAAGTGGACGGAAGAAAACAGCAACAACAGCAGAAATGGTTCGAAAAGTAAAGATGCGACTTGATCGAAACCCTCGTTGCAGTGATCGAAAATGGCTCGTGAGTTGAATATATCGCAATATTTCATTCGGCAAATATTGAAAAATGAGCTCAGACATTGAGACAAGTGCAATAACTTACACCGCATCAGGAAGAAAATAGACTCAACAGAGCTAATGGGATGCTTCGCTTGGCCAAAAGTGATGAACTGCAGAATTTGGTTTTCTTCGATGAGAACACATTCGTTGTCCAGTAGTTTGTAAACAAAGAAAATGATCGTGTTTACTTGCCAAAGATGTCAGCCGAAATTGTACACCTTCGGTTGGCCACCAGAACTCAAGCGCCGACCATGGTGATGGTGTGGGCCGCCATAATAGCCGATGGTCGCTCTCCGCTCATATTAATCGACCGTGGCATCAGAATAAATATAGAATATTATCGCAAAAATATTCTGAAGTGTGTATTAAAGCCTTGGGCACGCAAACATTTTGACCGTCGACCGTGGGCAATCCAAAAGGACCATCGTACTCAACACGCGCCACCCAAGAATGGTTACAAAATGAGGTTCCTCGCTCCATTTTCAGCGTACAATGGCCACCAAAATCTCCGGATACCAATCCGTTGGGCTGTTATGTCGGGAGTATTTTGGAAAGCAAGGTTGGCACTAAAAAATACCAAGGTGTCAATCACCTCAAGCAAGCGCTTTGTCGGAAATGGGCCAAAATACCGCAGAGCAACATTCGGGCAGCGTGTGACGGTTTCATTGGCCGTTTGAAGGCCATAATTCGTGCCTAAAGTGACCAATTCGAACAAATCTAAACTTCTTGTAAAGTTTGATACAAATTCCGAAATTGTTTGCTTTCATTCAATAAAATTAAAAAAAAAATGTAAAAAATATGGGGTTTGAAGATGGTCCTTGATCGATGGTTCCTTTAAATGGTGTTGGCCACATACTGTAACGCAAGCGTGTGTGTGGGTCATAACTAGGACGATTCTGGTATTTATTTAAGATCCTTTTGACTTTCACTCGACGTTTCGTTGTCTTCTTCCAATATATAAAGATTAAAACGAAACACAAACAATATTATTATTTTATTATTGCGCGACTTAATCTCCTCGACTCCCGTATCCATGCTTAATAAAATAAATTAAATCATGGTATTTTTTGTTTAAGATTTTGATTTGTTTGCAAAATTGGCCTACAGCAACGAATCAAAAAAAAAAAAAACAGTTGAAACCAAAGAGTTATTTATTTAAACGGAAAAACACATTTTCATTGTCCAGATACTTTTTCATGTCATTGTCCGAATGTCTTTGTGTAATCCTTCAATGGCCTAGAGGCTTGCAGTACATGTTACTGAACTCAAATTGAATTGTTCACTAAAATATCATTGAAATCAATTTTGAATTGTCACAGCAATATTTTCAATGAATCTGTGAGGCCATCCAGGAAAGCCGTTATTATTTATTGTTAATCGAATGGAATAAAACATGACTGCAGCCTTTTCGTTTTGTTTTCAAAAGGATTGCATTGTTATTTAAAATTTTCCACGTTTTCATTCGTAAGGATTGGATTACCCAAAGTAAAGTAATAAAATCGTATTAATATATATTTATAGCAAATGAATGACTTTAGAAAATGAGGTCTGGGAAAGAAAAAAAGTCTAGCGGTGCTTTATGGCAGCTGTCTAGCTAGAGAAACAAACCACCACTCATCGAGAACATCTCTCACCATGACACCTTTTCTACTTTTTGGTGTTCTAGACTTTAACCCTTTACTTACCTATATATTTAAGCCATTGTATCCCCACCACATTTTGAGAAGGCTGTGAGCCGAAGAAATTTTCTTTAAATTAATTGAAATTTATACATCTTTATTATATCCATTAAAATTCATATTTATATTATTAATTAACTTATACTAATTAATTTCTATATATTTTTTACAGTGAAATTTCAGAGTTTAAGAAAAGTAAAAAGTACAAAGAACAAATTAATTGATTGTATTTGTACATAAATGTTTGTCGCTCCTTTTCTATTTCAGGTTTTGGCCCTATATTCCTATGATTCAGTGAAAAACTATCAAAGAAAATTTAATTTAAAAAACCGTTAGTAAAAAATAATAATTCCATTATTGTTGTTATTGTAAAAACAACGCTTGTTTATTAGTGAAGAGCGATGGTAAAGCGTAAACCAGCGTAAATTAATTTTGTCGACTTAAAGATATCTGTCAGACCGCTTGTCTGTTGAAATCAAGATATAGCGATGAGGAGCATTAAAATGTTGCAAAATAATTTGTATTGTGAGTGGCAGACCTTTTCAATACCATTACAATGAAATATTAGTTTTTTACATCTTTGATGTTTTATTATTATATTATATAAAAACACTGTCGAAAGATTAATTATAGGGCCTGACATTCCCTATTATACACTAAATGTCTTCGCACACTGTTTTGTATAAATCATACATAACTGCCGTACTGTCATTAATATACACATCTACATTTTTGGGTTCTTCTTTGCTTATACTCTCTGCGATTATGACAGCCGACTATTAGGAAAAACCCCTAAAATCCTTTGCCAGATCAGTTGTGAAGTCACCTCACATTTTTGGGTAGATCTGAAAATATAAAAGAATACCATAAAGTACATTCTTATCATTCATTCAAGTATTGATACTTCCCTAAAAATACATTCATATGCCCGACTTGCGGTTTACAGCGTGTGGGCTCAAAGTTTGCAGGCATCCGTAGACCCTTAATCATCCCTTGGCCGCAAAGAAATTAACATGAAGCTTTGCAAGTGGACTCTAAAAAAATCTGAAAAAGAAACATACATTAGTAATACATATAAAGTCAATACAATTTTGAAAAGCTATGTTTTTCATGGTTATTAATGCGAATGGTTCTGTTGTTGTCTATATCAACATTTTAGTAAATTTGCAAAATCTTAAAGAAATGGAATATAATATTACAGTGTTTGGCTTGCTTGTTTGGGATACCATAGTATTTTGTTGTTGCAAAAATCGTCAGGCTAAATCCCATTATTGTTGTTTTTATAAAAACAACGTTTGTTTATGAGTGGAGATCGATGGTAATGTTTATCAGGGGGTAAGGCAGGGAATACCTAGGTTTCGGAAAGAGCCACCAATCCTCATCAGTTCCCTTGTTTCTTGTCTGGGAACTTCACAAAATAAAATTTATATCCAATTTATAGCTAGTTTACACAACATGTTTGAGTCTGTTGTAGACAGCCTTATCGCATATTTAACTTTAACCATTTAACTTTTACATTTGCAATTTATGACTAGTAGTTGATATGGTTAACTCTCTAAATATACTCTCACATAACAATTTGCATTATAAAACTAATTAAAATTATACCACAAAATGTAAAAACACTTTTCCAGCCTTTATTAGTCATTAACAACTAATAATGTAAACTCTAACAAAATGATTTAATACTATTAGATATTTTACAACAAAACCTGTTTCACATATCGTTCTCAACTCCTTTGACATGGATTTGTTTACCTAATTTCGAAAAACTATGAAATTTAACCTGTTCTAGAATTATAAAATGAACATGACAGCAACACAAACAATAACTTGAGCAATGTTTACGAACATTTATCAAATTACAAAGCAAGCAAGCAGAAGCATGTCAGAAAAGGAGAAGTAACAAAAAAAAATTGATTTTGTAAATTCTACATATGGGGATAAAAAATCATGTAGATGGAGTGTTGCCTTGGCTTTTGGGAATAACTACTTGAAACAAGGTAAACAATAAAATATTAAACAGATGAAATCATACTTTAGAAATCACGGCAATTTTAAATTATTGTTATTGCAATATTGAAACAATTTAGAATAATTCAAGTTAACTTTTTCTGTTGATTTTTTAGAAATAAATATTAATAATGCCATGAATTCAAAAGATTTTCCGTTATGCTTACCGCAAACAAATAAAATGATATGTCAGAATTCTATAATGTGACAGTTTCATATAGATGTTTACAAATTTGTGGACATATTTTAAAGCGCTGATTGCTGATTCTGAATGGAAACCAACAAGGAAAAGCAAAAGTCGGGGGGGACCGGAATATATGATAACCTACACTAGAACTACCGTAACAAAAGAATTTATTTCCGAGCCGAGTTCCACAAAATGGTAACGAAGTCCCGAAGTTCACTCTTTTTGGGCTGCTATTAGCTATTATTTGCACAATAAACCTGAAATCGGATTAAGGATATATGTAGGAGCTATATCCAAATCTTACATACAATTTGGCAAATTTATTTCCGAGCTTCATAAGATATCTGACATTTGCCTTTTTGTCGAATAAAAAATATACATGGGAGCTATAGCTATATCTGAACCGATTTTCTCCGAATTCGGCGTACCTGCTTCTAGACAGAATTTTGTCGGATGTACCAAATTCAGGACATTAGGACAGATTATTTTTTCTTATTTTAAAAAATAATAATTATATTATTTAATTTAATAAACAAAAAATCGAATCTCAAATAACTCAAAAGGCTTATGACACATGAGAGTATTTATTACCTTTCCATTCATATTCTTAGTACCATTCCCCAACACCCAAAAACACTGTGGACAGCCAATTCGCCCGGAAAATTGTATTAATTTATTAAGATTAAAATCGATGCATATCGTTAGGAGGTATAATTTGATTGTCACTCCATTAGCATGACCTCGAAATAGTTTTGAAAATTCTGTATCGAATTAGCCATATCCCTCTGTTGGGCTCGCAATGTAAACATTAGATCTTTGAAATTTAACAAAAGGAACATTGCCATTTAAATGAAAATATCTACTCTTTCGATAGTATCTTCTTAATTTTCAAATTCATTATGGGACTCTGCTATTACAAAATGTCAGTTAATAAAAGTAACATAGTAAACAAGTAAAAAAGCTGTAAGTTCGGCTGGGCCGAACTTCTAATACGCTCCACCATTTTGTAGAAATTTGGCAATTTCTTTGTTAAAATCTTAAAAATACAAAATGCCTGTACGACGACGTGTACCTGCATAGGCAACTTTTGTCATAAGTTATTACAATATTTAAATGCGAAACTTGAATAAAAATCTGTTTATGATGTACCTAAATTATAAAAATTATAGCGTGGACCTGCACAGACACAGGCATGGGCTGAACTATCCAATACGAACTTTACATGCGAAATTTGAATCAATGTCGGTAAATAATGTCGCTAAAATCATCCAAATACCGAATAACGGGGGGTACGGTATATGGGGCTATACGAAGACGTTGACCTACATGGTCCATTTTCTGTTTTATGCTGCAGTATCTATTACGAACTTCAACTACCAAATTTGGAACGATTCTGTTAAATAATGTCGCTAAAATCATCAAAATACCGAATATCGGGGGGTACCGTTATATGGGGGCTATATGATAACTTAGATCTACATGGCCCATTTACGAACTTAACCTGCCTACTGGAAAAATATACATGTGTGCAAAATTTTGGCTTTATATCTCAATTTGTTCGAAAGATAGCGTGATTACAACAGACAGACGGACATGGCTAAATCGTCTTAGAATTTTACGTTGATCAAGAATATATATACTTTGTTGAGTCTGACATGAGTATTTCGAGGAGTTACAAACGGAATGACAAAATTAATATACCCTCCATAGTACGGTGGAGGGTATAAAAAGACTATTATTGTAAACTGTGGCGCATGAATAATGTTGTTTCTCATACGCGTACCAGCACAACATGTTTTTTAAAGCCATATTATTTTGTGGTGTTTTTAATTATTTACAATAATTTAATTTTAACTTTTTTACTCAGGTTTCATAAAAAAAATCGTCCATAACCTATTGACATTCCTGTTATTGTGTTATATGCTGTTACTTTTATGTAAATAGGTAAGTTGTTGACTTTGTTGAGAGCTATTGATGTGCCATAATTAAGAATGCATTGAACAACGACAAATGTTAAAGTTTTTTATATAGCGCAAATTTACATTACATAATTTCTTTAATATGTATTCTTATTAAAACGTATTATATGGACGAAACGGATGGACAATTTATTTGGATTTGGATTTTTTAAATGTTTTTTTTTTTTTTTTTTTTTTTTTTTTTTTTTTTTTTTTTGAAAAACTTTCCTATATCTCTTAATTAAATCACGATTTATTAAAACCTTCAGACGTATGTGTTTATACCACTAAGAGTAGCAGCATTTCAAAGAATATTAAGCAGTGGTTAGCATACACTTGGCTGGTGGATACGAGTCATATGGTCCACATACAAAGCATGAAAGTATATCAGAAATGGTATGGAATGTTTAGTAAAAGTGTTCCACTTTCCTTCCCACAGCGAACATATATAAAAAAAATATTTTTGTAATATTTAGTATTTTATGCAGCAATAAATCATGCAATAAAATAACTATTATACAATAAAACACTTCCTTTTTTGTTTACAACAATACTATTAAATATTTAAATATTTAACGATATTAAATAACTGTTGTTGCAAAATGGTCTGGCTTTATCACTTTATTGTTGTTTTTATAAAAACAACCTTTGTTTATTAGTGGAGAACGATCGTAATGTTTACCAGGGGGTAAGGCAGGGAATACCTAGGTTTCGGAAAGAGCCACCAATCCTCATCAGTTCCCTTGTTTTTGTTTGGGATTGGTGGCTCTTTCCGAAACCTAGGTATTCCCTGCCTTACCCCCTGGTAAACATTACGATCGTTCTCCACTAATAAACAAAGGTTGTTTTTATAAAAACAACAATAAAGTGATAAAGCCAGACCATTTTGCAACAACAAAATACTACGGTATCCCGAACAAACAAGCCACACTGTTCTATTAATAGACAAGGCACGGTCGACGAAGGGGTTTTTGTTGTAACAGACAAAACCAACTTACATAGTTATGCTACTTCGTTCAGGCTGAACGAAAGCATAACAAGTGGAGAAAGATGTAAATGTTTATAAGTGCGGTTGTAAGATTTAGAAGGCTTTCCAAGAGAATTTTAGTTTTATTTAATTCTTTGGTTCCTCTTCTATTGAGCTTACGATCTCGTCACTTGGGTAAAAAAATGTTTTTTGTCATAGAAGTTATTTTTAAAATAACTTCTGGGGAGAATATCCCAGACAAAAACAAGGCAACTGATGAGGATTGGTGGCTCTTTCCGAAACTTAGGTATTCCCTGCCTTACCCCCTGGTAAACATTACCATCGTTCTCCACTAATAAACAAACGTTGTTTTTATAAAAACAACAATAAAGGGATAAAGCCAGACCATTTTGCAACAACAAAATACTACGGTATCCCGAACAAACAAGCCACACTGTGATATTAAATAACAATTTTTTCATATATGTATGTGGTTTTATATATGTATGTGGTAAAACTCACACAGTCTACAATGGCTAAAATTTTCTACATTTTTCACATTCACATGATGAAGTAATTTCAAAATGGCTATATGAGCGTTAGACGATGAAAGGATAAGGGAGAAAGAATGATTATAAAATTGTAATTAATTTGACCATTTATTCGCACACACACACTCAAGTACACAATATTTTAATCATAATAATATTTTGATTACATTTGGCAGAATAATTTTTTAAAAGTAAAAATAACATTGCAGTTTTGGTGTTGTTGCTGTTATTGCTAGGAAGACAAAAGGATAAATATTCAAAATAAATAAGTACCACAATATGACAAATAACTTTTAAAAAGTTCAGAGTGGTGAATGCAAATTGTTAATAATTGTTAAAAAAAATAATAGTTGTTAAAAAATTGCTAA